CTTGTCTTACGCACCTTTCAGTTTTTGTGTACTTATTGAATTCATATTCAATCCGTATGCTAAATGTTTGTTTCCACCGTATGTTCTGAATTATTTTAATATCCTTTTCTTATTTAACCTATCTACATTCTTTAGATTGCAGCCATATTCACTACTTTTCGACCGTTGTACGCTCCGGCCTTCTTCAGGTGATTCAAACTTCGAACTGAACCCTTTTATTTCGTCCATCGTAGTAGATTGTTCTAGTTCCACGTGTCATGCCACTTCCGGATGTCTCAGCATCACTTATCTCCCTTTAACTCAACTCTTCAAGTTTTTTTTTTTTTGTTCACCTTTGCTGTAGTCAGATATTGAAGTCACAACGGAAGAGGAATGGCACGTGGAACTAGAAAAATCTAACCCCCCACCCCGGTGGACGAAATAAACGATTCGCTTCGAACAAAGAAAATGGTTGAAATAATTACAATACCTCATCTCAGAAATTGCCAGTAATAAAGACACAAGAGAGGATTATTAAGTATATATATATATATATATATATATATATATATATATTTATATATATATATATTAACAGAAACAGTAATACAAACATATACAAATGAGAGTTTTATAGCAAGAATGTTCGGTCCGACTGTCATAGATGACTGTTGGAAACTTCCTTCTCTGAAAGGCAGTACCTGCTCCTATTTATAGCTGGGAGACTCCATGCGTGCGTGGGTAAATTACCATAACAGAAATATAGACAGATCCTGAAGAAAGCCGGAGCGTACAACGGCCGAAACGTCATGAATATAGCAAAAAGATGAGAACCACCGTTCGAACAATGTAAATAGTGTAAATAGTTACCGCATCTCAGATATATTGGCAGATATCCTTTCCCCAATAGATCAAATCAACCCCGTAGAATGAGTTTCTAAATTCAATGCGACCTGTGAATTTGTAATCGTTAAAAATAGCTGGTCGTCTTGAAGTTGCCAAAACCGTAACATGGATTGCACTCACCAGCAACGGAAACCCCGCAAAAAAAAAATCAAAAGCAAATATTGGCAACAGCAAAAAAAAAACAAAAAAAAAAAACAAAAAAAAAAAAAAAACAACCGATAATATAGAGGAAAAGACATTAAAGAAATCGACCAAATCTGATATTTTTTCTACTTTAGTGACTTTCAAAAAGGAGTGAAACTCCCTTGGCATCTGCCCACACCCCATATATATATATAGTTCAATTTCTTTTTTTATTTAGAATTGGTAAATAAACCGTTTTTATTCGAGTTTCGCAATTCAATGCGACCTGTGAATTTTGTTAGAGTGAGCTTTGAACCATCGTTCTTAGAAATGATTAAAGATATCTTACTGGAATTCTCCGATGTTTGAAGTTGAAATTATGTCCCCTCTTACTGTTGTGACCTCCTGATCCAAATTTCCCTTCTAATGATCCTCTTTTTAAAACTTATTCATCGTTTTCTTGGTGGTTCTTGAACGGACTTGAAGATGAATGTTGAATTACTGAAGACTTGAATTATCTTTTTCCTCTTACCATTGCCCAGTTAGGAAGATATAGTGGGGCTGACAGAAAACGATTTTAACCTGTTCTTTTTCTAGCTGAATAACTCAAAGGGTTTTTCAGTGATTCTTGTGACAAGATGGCTAAACGTCTTTATGGGAAAACCTGGAAAAAAGAAACTCAATTAGTTTAGTGTTTTTTTTTTTTTTAGATATTAAACATTTTGAGGAATGGACAATTATCCCAATGCTGTTACAGAATTCGGACAATTTTGCTGTTACACCCGGTATTTCATTTTTGTACCACGAATACGTTGTTTAAATATTTACAGGAAAGATACGCTGTAATTGAAATTAAAAGTCTGTAGAATTTATTAAAAATCCGTGGAAAATTATGTATACCGATTCTTAGCAAATTTTATAATTTGATAGCAAATTTCAAAATGTCTCCGCTTCTTCAAGTTAAATTTAAGTTTTGTAACACTATGCATAAATATTTTTTACATATTTATACGTCTATCATTTTTTCTTGGTGTGAATATTGCCTTCACATCTGGCCTGGTTCTCTTGATATATATTTAGAGGTTCTTGATAAAAATCCAAAGAATCTGCAATGTTATTGGTGCTGATCTGACATCTCGGCTTCTCACCGCCGTAACGTAACACCGATGTGCCTTTTCTATAAATATTTTCATGCTAATTGTTCTGATGAACTTTCTGCTAGATTTTTTATCCACCGCCTCACAGACAAATTATACATCTGGGAACTAGTTAGAACTACATAGAGACTCTGAGGTATTAGGGTGGCTGTCGTAAGAATGGTTAGTAAGAATCTGCTGTTTTGGTGTAAGGAATACTGTAGTGTTTTGAGTCATTAATCGTGGCCAGCTAAGTTTAAGAGAAGACAGTTTTAAAGACCAGCTTGCCCTTAACCCTCATTTTGGCCTTGTGCCACATTTTTATATTATTCAAAATAAATATTACTTTCTGCTAGATTTATGGATTTAAGCTCAGTACTAGATTGGCTGAAAGGTCTCATCATTTTGCTGTTGAAATGGCTAGATGTAACCTTAAATTCTATGCTATCAGTTTTTTCTATCGCACTTCTCGCTTGTGGAACTCTCTTCCGGTTTCTTGCTTCCCAGTCAACTTTAATATTAAAAAAAAAAATTATTGTAAATCGTTATCTTCTGTTTCGTAATACTTATTTATTTATTGTCCTTTCTCTTTAATAGTAGTTTTTTCTCATATTCTGTAACACTCGTCTACAGTCACTCTCTCACAGACGCGCCGTCGCCTCTCTCTTTCTTTTCTACAAATACTTTCATGGTAATTGCTCCGATGAGCTGCTTTCACTGGTTCCCAGACTCCAGGAATTCAAGCGCCCTACGAGGCTGGCATCCCGCTCCCACCCTTACACTGTAGAAACTTTTAAATATAGCCGTCTCTTCTACTCCAATAGCTTCATATCTCGCACCTATCGCCTGTGGAACACCCTTCCCAATTAATGTTTCCCTGACAGCTATAATCTCCAACTATTCAAATGTAATGTCAATCGACATCTCCAGTTACCTTGATCTATCCACTATCCTTCTCCTCCTTTTTTCTATCACTCCTATCTGCTCTCGCTCCAAATCTTCTGCAAACCCCTGCATCCTAGTGGCTTTATTGCCTTGCTCGGGGGTAAAAAAAACAAAACAAACCATAATTAGTTATATCGTAGTGGCTTTATTGCCTTGCTTGGGGTAAAATGCTTAAAAAAATAAGACACTGCATAAATATTTTCAGGATTTATATCAACCGTATATTTCTTATAGTAAATTTCAAAATGTCGCCGATTCTTCAAGCTATATTTTAGTTTTGTGTCATTAAGAAGTTGGTTAAATATTTGCGAAAAGCTCCTCTCAGAAATACATTCAGATCCTGTAGAAGGCCAGAGTGTACAACGGCTGAACTGTCAAGAATATTACAACAGAGATGAGGACAGCTGCCCAAACAATGTAAATAGCGTAAATAGTTACAATACCTCACCTCGGAAATATAGACAGATTCTGAAGAAGGCCGGAGCGTACAGAGGCCGAAAAGTCGTGAATATGTCAACAAAGACGAGGACAATAGTCCGAACAATGTAAATAGTGTAAACAGTTACAATATCTCATCTCGGAAATATAGGCAGATCCTGAAGAAGTCCGGAGCTTACAGGGGCCGAAAAGTCGTGAATATGTCAACAAAGACGAGGACAATAATCCGAACAATGTAAATAGTGTAAACAGTTACAATATCTCATCTCGGAAATATAAACAGATCCTGAAGAAGGTCGGAGCGTAAAGCGGCCGAAATGTCAATATTTCAACAAAGATGAAGACAACAGCCCAAACAATGTAAATTGTGTAAATCGTTTCAATAAATCATCTCGGAAATATAGACTGACATTAGAGGAATTATATATATATATATATATATATATATATATATATATATATATATATATATATATGTATTAGATGGAGCTCGCATAGTTTTCTACTTATTTACACCAGATCAGACGAGAATTGGGTATTGTTACCATATTTGGT